TAATTTGGGAAAATAATATTTTTAGGCTTATAAATCCTAGCATGTCATTGGTTCCCAGAAAAAGGTAAGTAGATGTCTCAGTGATTTCTTTTGCATCTGTGAACTTTCCAGTTATGCTTACCTTGGGTACAAAACCAGAAAGCCTTAAGATTTTTGCCCTGTATAAAAGGCTGCAGTAGATACCACTCCCCAGAGCAGCAGACATAAGGCTGAAAAGGTGAATCCCATCACTTGCTTAAGGAGTGACCGTTTCTGAGTCCTGGGGAGACTGAGAACCTAATTTGCCTTACTGCTGAGTGCCAGTGGGCTGCAGCCAGGAGCTGTGCAGCTGTAGAGGACCCGGTATCTCAACCGTATGTGTTTTGGGGGAGTCTGTGTTTTGCACTTTCTATAGCCTGGCCCCATGGACTTTGAGTTTTCCTGCTAGCAGCTGGAAAAGCCTTCTAGTTCATTTCCTTGTGGAAGGAATCTAGTTTGCATGCTTGGAGGCCTCTTGATGATGCCAAGCACAAGGTAAAGGGGGCCTGCCAGGAGCAACACTTTGAAGAGCACCTCATCAATAGTGAATCATGCTGGTGTAAATAGACCCAAGTTAATCTCCTTCTCATGGCAAAACTTCAGTTGAGGTCAACTTTGTCTGGCTTTTCCTGAGGAAAACTGGCCCCCTGAAGCAATACAGGTGGCAGAACTTCTGATTTGGTTAGGTGGCCTAGCAGACTAGTGTTTCTTTTTAGCTGAAACCTTGCTTATTTATGAAGCCACAGGCTTTGTCTGCCCTTGGACATATTTTTGTAGGAATTAACATCAGCACTCAAGGCAGAACAGGACGTGTCTAATGATACAGTTGTGCGAGACACAATGTAAAGTTAATAAAACCACTTAAAATATCTATTGTTCTGGGTACTTATTTCCTGTGTCACAGTAAGCAACTTTATGATGGGGACTCACCAGTTCTAGAACATGTTACGTTCATCCTATATGATATATTTATTGGCTTTTATGTTATCTTAACCCTCTGGACTTGCTTTTCGTTTACCCCAAAGGGCATGCTTTCAAAGTGCTGTTCAGGTGTTACACTTCCATTGACTTTTGATTTGGGTGCAGATGTTAAAGGGTCTTGAGAAATGAGCTCTGACTGATTGACATCCCCATGAGGGCACAAAGCTGCTGTTAATGTAAATAGGAATCAGAGCTGCTGCTTTTGTTGTTGTTCGTTTTTTTTCCCCCCCTCTTTTCTCCCCCTGAATCCAAATGTCCTTGACTTGCCTAGGCCAGGCTGCAGTAGCCCTGGTTTCACTGACTTGTCACTTGAGGAGTGTAGCTGGAAACCCCCATACCAGCACCCAGACTTGGGCAAAGCTGCCTGGAGGTTACCCGGTTGTGTGTGCAAGTGGGAACTCTGGATGTACAGCAAGAACCAGCCACTAGGGGGGTGAATCGCGTTGTACAAGAGCTTTAAGCTGTTTCCACTGGTGATGCTCAATTTCAGCTTGGTGGAGACGACCTGGAGAACAAGGCACTGTGTCCATGTTCCCTTGAAGACAGAGATGCTACTTGAATATCTCACAGACCTTGAGGAGACTGGCTGTGCTGCTCTCGGTGTAGTCCTCTACAGCACTGAGTGAGTTTTGGTCTCTTCCCCCATCAGAAAGTCTGCATCCATGCATTGCCTTTGACTTATGTAAGCTCAGTATGCCCTGGCTATGAACTGGGGGCTGAGCAGATTTTGCCTGCTTTTCTCTCTGCCAAGGCCATGGTATTGTGGAAAAGTAGATTTGAAAGGCACAATACCATCGCCCCTTCCCATCTGGAAGGGAAACTTGGTCCAAGTTACACCATATTCGGACAGCCCCCCCCTTAACAGCTAAGGGGGAGATCTCAGGGTTTGAGACTGTTACTGGAGAGGGAAAAAGCAGTACAGCAGCTTTAGTCCAGTAATACAGGATATGCAAGGTGTGCTGTGGATGAGAAGGTAGCTGGTCATTGGGAAGAACAGTAGTCCTTTGGTCACGTTTTAATGGGTCAGGTGCAATAAAGGGAGCCTTAAACCAGGGGTGGTTGTCTTAAGGGGCATCCTACTGCTTTCTTATCACAAACTTGTTTTTTCATGGCTCAGGGAAAATTGCTTTTTGGTGAGTTCTGATGGAGCATGTGCTGTGTGCATGACACTTGATTATAGCATTAATGAGCATTCAGCAGGTAACTGTGCCATGACCCAAGGATATATTCAGCTGGTGTGGTTGTATCTGGCTGTGTGGGTGGAGTTTCTGTCCAAGGGTTTGAATGTAAGAACTGAAGAGAGGAACTACTCTCTTGTTCTCCTGTATATGTGGTTGAACCTGGATCCTTCTATAAAACATAACTATTAAGATTTCAGCTGGCCTGGGGTCTTGGTTCCATTATTGCTTCGAAGAAAACCATTCACTCATTCAGTTAGAATACTTAAGCAAATACCTGAAATGGTTATTAATCTGTTTTATCTTAGGGTAATGCTCTCTTTTTAATTGAATTGGTTCTTAAGTGACATTTCCTTTGCTTCTCAGTAGCCTTGAAGAGTATTTTGTTTGCAAACCACCATTCATTGCTAGTGGCTTTTTCTCAGAAGCAGAAAAGCTGTTTCTGTAAAAACAGATGAAAGGCTTTTGTGAACTTGCTGTTCAAAAATGTGATGAGTTTCTTTTCTGTAGGGTTGGATAGGTCCAAGGAATGCAAAGCATGGCTCTGATTCACTTAATTAGCTAATTAATTCTTTCCTCCTTCCAGCAAGCCTGAAAGGTTGTGCTTGCTGTGTCATGTTTGCCCCCCTCGGCTCCTGTGCTTTCCCTTCTGGTTGTACTATGGGGCAGTACAGACTGTGAGGAAGGCCTTGCTATCAGCCTGGCATCCTGAGCACGTTTTAACCTCGGATCCTTCTTTGTAGGTAAATACCGACAATAACCAGCTGCCCACAATTGCTGCGTAGCTCTTGGGCTCCCCTGCAGTTTGTGACCCGTCGAACTATGACTCGATGGCCTGGCCTTGGTCTCTGGGCCAGGATGGATGACCTATAAAGCCAGGGGACCTGTAACTGGGACCATCCGTTCCCCATGGACAGACCGTAGCCCGGATGGAGGGACTGCTATGAGATAATGTTCTCCTGTTCTTGAAGGTGGTGTGTCTCCCTGCTCCAAGTGCCCAGCAGTGGTTGGGAAACGTGCATGGCCATGGAAAAGGAGGGTATTGTGTCGCAAGTGAGCTGACCACACTGTTCAGGCCCCCTGATGGTTCCTGTGACAGGTGATGCTGTGATAGATAGCCTAAAGCAGACTGACATCAGGTGGGGAATGCAGAGAGAACGTTTGCCCCTCAGCACGAAGGCCAAGCAATGTTGTGTCCCCAGTCTGCTTGGCTGCTGATTGAGTAACTGAAAAACATAGTAGGGCACAGAGAGAGGAAAACAAGGCTTTCCATGCTTGCTAGGCAGCAGGTAGGTGTTACCCAAGTGTGAGTTCAGCCAGCAGGTCTTACAGAGAGGCAGCAAACCTGTGCTCCTCAAACTGGAAACCCCACTGGATACTGAGCAGTCCTGCCTGAAATGCACTGTGTTTTCCTATCAGTCTCAGCCTCTGACTGATGGCTGCAGG